GCTCAGCTTATTCTAAAGAGGCCAAGGCAAAAAAATTTGTGGAACAAGTTTTAGATTCTAATTTTTGGAAACAATGTGCTGATATTGTGAAGCTTATTGAGCCACTTATTCGTGTGTTGCATATTGTTGATAGTGAAGACAAACCTGCCATGGGTTTTCTTTATCAAGCTATATTTAAAGCTAAAGAGGAGATGATAAGGAGATTTCAAAGAAATAAGAAGAAGGTGGAGCCTTACTTGACCATCTTAGATAGTCGCTGGGATTCACAGCTTCGCAAAAATCTTCATGCCGCTGGTTATTGGTTGAATCCAGGTTGTCGTTTCAATAATGAAGAATTTGAAAAACATAAATTCACAACATCAGGCCTTTTGGATGTCATTGAGAGATATGCTTATGGGAATCCTGATTTAAATTCTAAGTTGACAAGTGAGATGAGAATATTCAAAAATGCTGAGTTAGATTTTGGAAGGCCATCTGCTAAACGTGAACAAAATACCGTGATGCCAGGTAAAATTTATGGTTTATATCTTTCTTTTTTTATGAGCATTAATTGTTATTATTGTTGAATAATATTAATACTAATTTATCACATGCAATATTCTAGATCAATGGTGGGAATCTTATGGATGCGGTGCACCAAATTTGCAAAAATTGGCTATTCGTATTTTAAGTCAAACTTGTAGTGCTTCGGGTTGTGAACACAATTGGAGCACATTTGAACACATTCATTCCAATAAGAGAAATAGATTAGAGTATCAAAAGCTTAATGATCTTGTCTATGTTCGTTATAACTTGAGGCTGGCACAAAGGTATTATTGAGTATTTTTTTTATATAATTATTTCTCCAAGTATTTTCTAATTTTGAAAATTGGACAATTTAATAAACGTAGGAGTCGATTGAAGCATCAAAATTATGATCCAATAAATCTTGAAACATTTGAGGAGAACTCTAATTGGGTACTGGAGGAATCACCACCATACTTAACAGTTGAAGAAATGGAAGCTTTACGGACGGAGCTTGCACATATGTCCATTCAACCAACTTTAGATAAAGCAGGTGTGTTTACTTATTGTTTTATGATTATTTGATTGTTTGACTACTTCATGTTAATAACTAACATACATGGAAAATTGGCATTTGTTTTAGATCAACTAAATTTGGATGATGATGATGAAGATGAGGCACAAGACAACATCATGGAAAGTGCAAATCAAACTGAAGGCAATGAAGAAGGAGAGCATGAATTAATTGACACAACTTTGCCTCCTTGGGCATAATTATATGTTCTTGTGCTAGCAATTTGATCTGTTTGTTTTCTCTTGATAGTGACAAAAGCTATTGTTGTAGACTTGTGATGGATGTTAAATGTTTAAGGACATGACAAATATTATATGTTTGTTGGATCTTTTGTTGGAAAATATTGTGTGATTTATTGCTTTTCAAATTAGAATATTTGGAATTGGTATCATATTTTACAGGTATTTGAGTGTGTTAATAGTTTTTTTTAATAAAAATTACATATTTGTATATACTTACCGGGTCATGCGGTTGAACCAGTGACCCAGTAACCCGGTACCTCGACCGGGTCGATGACCGGGTCGAGTTTAATAACATTGATACAAACTCGAAACTGGATTAAAAAAATAAATATGCGTTTCCTATTAATTAAATTCAAAATATACTTTATTTTTTTATTCTAAACTTAAAAAAACTTCATTTTAAGATTATATGAGATAATTTTATCTTTTATAACAGGATAAACACTTTTCCTTAATTAAATCCAACAAAAGTTGGGCAGTATAGGCTTTTCTCATGATCGAAAAACGAAAAAAATATGGACTTAATCCAACTTCATAACGGGCACATTTGTAAGCCCAAACAATTACTAAACTTGTTGTGAGCTCAACACTTCTTCTAGACTTCGATTTGGCCCATTATATTCTAAGAGTGAAAATTTTCTTTCAGTTCACCAATCATCACATAAATTTTTTATCATCTTTGTCCATTAGATATAAAATTTTCAATCCCCTCCGTTTAGGTTATAAAGATGATGTAAACGAAAATGATTAAAGTTTACTATTTATACTAACTTTGCAAAATCTATTTAGTCCAAGTAAATGAAACGCTGTTATTTTTTTCACAGTCGCATATAAAACATTTATTGGTTGCAAGTTATAGTTGATGCACTTCAAACACTTATTGTGAACAACAAATAGATAAGAAAATATTTTTATATTATACTTCAGGTATGTTGGTCACCATTATTTTTCACTTTAACTATTAAATTTAAGGGAAAAATATTTCCGCAGTTAATGCAGAAAAGTTATCTGCATTTATTCCCAAAACGACGTCGTTTTGATATTGAAATATTAAAAAATTATAAATATAAAGACTATTATAACCCTAAAATAAATTAAAATTACAAAAACATCATAATTTCCGTCCCAAAACGACGTCGTATTGACTTACTGTAGATAACTTATCTGCAGTAACTGCGAAAAAAACGAACCTTAAATTTAATTTTTTTAATGCTAATTATTGTGATGACTAAATAATATAAGAATTTATTTGTAGGCCAAAGTGCCACATAACACATGCACAATAGCAAACAGAAGATCCTGGTAATATTCCATATTCTTGCCCAAGCGTGATGCATAAAGCTTTGTGCATATGAACTTGCTTGTTAACTTTACCTGTTCCCTTAGTTTTCTTTTCAAGTTCAAGCTATCTACTTCTGGTGAGGACTCAGAAGTTAGAATTATGACCCGTCTCCAAGAATTTCTGTTAAAGGTGAGTAGTTTATCTACTTTCTGTGATGTGTATTTTTTATCTTCTTGATAGTTTCAAGTTCGACCCTCTTTTTGTCTTGTGGATCAGTCTTCACAGGCTCAATACACTTGGGCTAGCCTGTAAGGGCTCGTTAAGGAGTCTTCCATCGAGAATATCTCCCACCTATACATACCTCTCTTCTCCACTTGAAGAAGTATCTTGTATTTATCATTTTTATGAGTTGTTATTCTGCTAAAATATAAGACCACCGCGCTCTTTAATTCCTCCTCTCTTAGTGATACCTGATATAACACTTACAGTGTCTCTCCCTGAGCTTTGATCCATACCACTGCAACTTTGAGCATCCACATAGCGATATTGTTCTGGATAGCCCACTTACATAGGCCCAACCACTGGGCCCAGTCTAAAAAGCCCACTTCTAGAAACATAGGATTCCCCTTCTTCCCCATGCACATGGCTGCCCCTGCACACTGGCAGGGGTTCAGCATGCCTAGCCTGAAAAGGCTAGGCTGGCTAGGTTGATTAGGGGCTCCCACTCTAAATACCCCCTCTCACATTGCGGAAGGGGCTTCTTCTCCTCCCTTCAGCTTCATGCGCTGCTACCATTGAGAACTATCCTAGCTACTCCCACACATAACCCTTATGCACACCATGGGAAGCTTCACTAGTGCTTTGGTCTCTACTACTGCCACTATGAGCACCCCCTATATCAACATACTTCACCTTCCATGGGACACATTTTATGTACACCAATAGTACAGATATACTTCACCCCTTTAGAGATACAAACCTACTCCTAATCCCACAACAGCTCAACTTCCAAGTTCCGACAGCTTTTTTTTGTTTTTTTTCTCTCTATGTATTGTATGTAAGTGAATGCTATCTTCTATAAGAATCCTGCAACAACTCAAGAAAAATCTCTGGTTTATGTTTAAGTCTGTCCATTATTTGGATCCTTTTATGTTACATGACCACTCTCATGTTCGCTATGTTCTCTTTCCAACCTAAGGTTATGTAACACAATAGGATTCAAATCTATCAATTATGGCCCATATAATGGGTTTTTTTCTTTGTGTTGAGTCTTACACTCATTACTTTTCACTTCCTTGCTGGTCTATTCATGGTAAACAAAAGAGTATGATCAGTTGAATTTGATGATAAAAGCAGATAAGCTCATGCTTTGACTAGTTTTCCTAGCCTTGCCAATTCATCCTACTAGTCCTTTGCCCCCTTAGGCACAAAAGCCACTGCAACATATTGCTCCAACTCTTTTATGATAAAGTGGATACTGAGTTTGCTAACTAATCTATTGTGGCCTATCTGTCTTATATGGCAACTATGGCATGCCAAGTTGAAGGGGTGCTATGCTATTATGAAACTGAACAATATTATCTCATTCTATTGCATCTTAATACCCTTGGTTTTATGAAAATCTTGATGTTTCAGAGAGATGTAACTTGGTAAGATACATTTCAAGTTACTTCTATATCACTTTTGCATTATAAGACTCAAGATTTTTTACCTGCACATCAGAAGCCATTGTCTTAGAGTTTTGGCCCAATCTAGTTAAAATTTTGGACTCTAGTGGATAAATTAAATCTGCACTGAATGTTAAGAGAATGGTATTGAATTCTTAAAAGATTGGGAAATAGATTGAAGCACTTATAAGTGCTGGCCGTAAGCATGTTCTCTCACAGTTATGGACTCACGGTAATATATGATCTTGCTTGTTTTGCTGACTTGCAAAGTGTTTTCTCTTTCATCACGTTGGTATGTGCACTCATATTTCATCCACTGAGCTACTTTTATTGCTGTTGAAGTATGCAATCACAGGTGAACTATTATTTCTTTCTTTCCCAACAAGTTTGACTAAATCGAGAGCAAATCACATTCAAATTGAGAAGAACAATGACACTGATATTAGGATAAGAATTAGAATATTTATTGCTAACGATTTGGATTTAACCATTTGATGTAGTCTTGACTCGAGTCTGCGTTATAAACTTAAAAACTCTTTATCTCAGCTTGCCCTGTGAATGTTGACGTAATGAGGTGCCTCTAAATCACAGGACATCAATTTATGCATAGGATAATGATGTTACTCTAACACGCTTATTTAGAAAATATATGATATAAGATTATAGGGTAAGGATCCGTTTACAAACTTTTTTGACAAATTTTTACAAATTACACTATCTTTTCCCGGGAGAACATAGTGAAACCTAGTGTTCTCCCAGGAGAAGATAGTGTAGTTTGTAAAGAAAAAAATTTGTAAATATAACCTGCCCCAAGATTATATCATCTTGTTCCAACTTCTAAACAATGTACTACTAGTTATAGTGGTTCTCTTTCTGTGTCTTTATTAAATACGTACGGGAAAAATCTAAATTGTGAAATTCTCTGAAACAAGGAAACAAATTAAAACAACCAAGTATCATTAGAACCATTTGCATTCATGAAATACATGTCCTTTTTCTTTTAATGCAGATGTACATTTTGTGTAAACAATAATACCTTGTGGTTTATATTTAAAGAGCATGACATAAGTATGTACATGGAAATCATAAAAAAAATCCATCTGGGGAAAAGAATTAGGTTCATGAAAACAAATCCTGCACAACAAATTCAAACAACCTATTTAGTGGGTATGTTAAATAACACCATGCCTTCCTGTCCTTTGAAGTTGCAAGATATTCAGAATCCTTTCCAGGCATCAAGAACTTCATGGAAGACTTCAGCAATCAGATCCCTGTCTGCATTTTGCAGGAAGGTATTGAAATCATCCTGAATTTCAAATATTTTACCAAATTTCACAAGATATCGGATACAGCTCATCTTCAGTTTAATCAACTGATATAGTGATGCATTTTGGAGCCTCTCAAGTACATTTTTTGTATCAATATCTTCTAAAAGACTCTCATGGCATGCCTCTCTCAAGTCATCTATGTCATACTTATCAGCTGCATGCAGAAGGGTCAGCCTATAAGTCAGAAATTCTTCATGTTTGATGATCCCATAAAGATAATTGAGGAAAGCATGGCAAGCTTCAATGGACATGTCTGAGATGTTTATGGTTGAAAACTCTTTCTCCTGAAGATTATGTGAGAACATGCTGCGGAAGACCGGTGACCGGGCAGCAAGAACAGCTCGATGAGCTCCTATACTTCCATTAGAAGCATTGATGGTGATGTCTGTGTGGATGCCTTCTGTTAGCATTCTACCAAGAGACTCAAGGGCTTTTGCATTTGATCTTTTCTGAGTAAATCCTTCAGCCCAAATGGAGCAAGGTTCTCCACCCTATATTCAAAAAAATAACATTCTAAATAAGTTCCAATTCAATCATAAATTGGATATTTCCTGTCAGATTATAATAAAATCAGAACTGCTTGGTGTACTAATCTATTATCACTAGTCATCATTGGTAATTATCCATCAAGACTGAACAAAGTTACAAAGGGATTACTAAAATGCTTATGATTGTAACAGTGGATTACAAAATCCAATTAGTACCCTGAATTGTTTTTAGCTAGACTGTCACATTCTAATTGTCTCAACATAATTATCATTTGCAATGAATACTACTATAAAGAGATGGGTATTTTGTACTAACGTTTGGGGATGCAGTCTTCAAATCAAGGAACTCAACATCAATAATGAATTTTCCAGTAAGTGGAACCTCAATTGCCCAAACAAAGTCTTCATTGTTCTTAATCACTTTGTCCTTTATTTCTGCATCAAATCAAAAAGAGTAATCAATTAACATTAGAAACTATTGAACTGTTAAATTTTTTTTTTACTGAACTTCAAAGCAAAACATTATTGAGAAATTGTGAAGAGGCAAATAAAGTACATAAACAATAAAGACTTTAGCTATCTTCTGTTTGCAAAATTGCAATTATTATGCAGTTTGTATTGAGTACAACAACATGTAGCTACATGCAAAAATCAAAGATTGATTATTTTCTATCCAATTAAAAAATTGAAAGAAAAAGAAGAAGAAGAAGAGAACTTTGATGACCTGGATGTGTGAGGGCCTTGCGATCTCCAACAGAACTAACCACCCGTACAATGAAAGATGCAATTGGGGGATTATCTCTCGTTAGATTGGAAATTTCTGGGAATAATTTAACAAACAAAACCCTGTTCTTCTCCACCGACAAATGCCTTCATTTCAAATAAAACAGAGTAAGCCACACTCTCTATTCCAATTTGACATCAACAACTAAAAATCTCAAAAATAAAATAAAATAAAGGGTCATGAAATTGAAGTGTAAAAAACCAAACTTTATGAGATGTCAAACACATTATCTAATATTCAAAGCTATTTAGCCATGTGGGGTGTCTCATAATTTCATTGATCAACCAACAAACACAACCCCACTTGTAGGTGTCCTATGTTCTGCATCCTAAGTTAATGTTTTATCAGAAACACGTTCACTTTTTTGGGTTTAGCTACAGAGAGAGAGAGAGAGAGAGAGAGAGAGAGAGAGAGAGAGATACCAGTTCCATTTTCCAATCTTGAAAGGATCGGATTTGCGGTAAGTGCAAGAAGCCAAGTTTTCGATTCTCCATTGAGCAAGGCGTGAAGTGGTTTCGACTCTGTATGCAGAATCGCTCATCCTATTAGCAAAAGCCAGTGCTGTTGTGATTTCATGGATGCAATCTAAGATACCCACCAACAAAAAATCTCCGTGCTTTCCCAGGTTGACTCCTTCTTCTGCAATTCTCTTCACTCTTCATATGAGGATCCTCTGTTTCTCTCACTCTGTTTCTCTCTCTCTCTCTGTTAACTACCACTCAACCAGTACCTTTTTCTTTTTCTTATTTATTTGAAAGGAAAAAAAAAATGTAGAAAACATTCAACAACATTCAAGGTTTGATTATTTTGCAATTTCATTCAATGGTTTCGGACACGCAATGCTTTGACAGTTGCTTTTACTCCTTTGATTTGATGATGAGCTTTTCCTCCAGATAAAATAAAATAAAATAATAATAATAATTTGTAGAGAGAGAGAGAGAGGGTGAGTTTATTGATTTTGTTGGCTTATTCAGCACTTTTATTGGTATGGGATGGTGATGGCAGATGAAAAATGTCAATTGGTTGGTTTGGTTTTGGAAGGTTTCATATATATTGCTTATATCATTTATGGAAGCAAGAGGGGTACGTGTTAAGTTATGTGTTGTTAGAGTAACCCATACTAAGGGAAAAGAATATTTAATTTTTTGTGCTTTGAAGCAAAGTATCTGTTCCTTTGAATTTTGACTTATTTTCATAAACTACCTTCATTCTTGGATTGTGGAAGCAATATACTTTGGATTATTGCTAAGAATTATATATTAATGATGCTGCCCTACTTGATCATCCTCTTTATTCTCTTCCTAAGTGTCCCAAGTTGCCACCTTTCTTCTTGTGATATTTAATTTTGGATGACTCTTTTGCTGATTTAACCAGTATGGTGCAATCCTTCCTATCATTTCTTTTGCTACAGTTGAGCTATAATATGCAAGTTGTCTTTTGAAATGGGTCAGGCTCTATTGTCATGAGTTCAGAATAATTATTTTTTTATTTTTTCAATATCATGTATTTGATTTTGAAAAATAATTTATTTGTAAATACACATGAATAAGACAGCATATGAGGATTATTTACATTCCTACTCTTGCTAGTCTGTGTTTACTGAAGAGTGATTAAAATCTACACATTCCCTTTTCTTGTTGTTGCAGGTGGATTTGTGACTCAATTTCAAGTTGAACTCAGTGTTAATAATCATTAACTTAGATGCAAATATAGCTAAAGTGAAGTTGATTATATGCACTTTCTCTTTATTTAGGAAAGAAGAAATCAAGAAAGGAAATGAAATAAGTGCATTTATGCTTAACTCTTCACTCAAACTCACTTTAAGCACTCCTAGGTGACCTTGTTAATAGTCAAGAGTTTAGCAAATTTTTCAAATATGTGGGTGTGAGTTGTGAAGATAAAGTGTTTTAAGAGATTTGCAATTAATTGGTTGCCTCATCTTTATATTGGGATATCACACTCATAGAAAAGAAAAAGAAAAGGAAAGAAAAGAAAAAGTCATTAAAACCAGCTTTTCAACCTAGGAGGTTTTCATTATGCAAGCAATAGCATATTTATTATTGAGATAAAAACTCATTCATCAAATTTCCATTGTCCGTATATTTTCTTAATGGTGATGATTAAGTAACTCAACTTTAAACTTTGCTTTCCCTCATACCCAAGTTGATGCAATTCAACATGATTACTCTACATTAAAAAAATGAAGAAAATTGAATTTTTGTAGCAATGTTCCATTAAAATACAGAAAATGGGACAAGGCAAAGTATGGTCTTGAGTCTTGACATTGATTGAGAAAGACGGAATTTTGAGATTCAATTGGTTTTTCCTTCCATGAAAAGTCCAAAACTTAATTTTCTTTTGCTTAACAAATAGACAACTTGGTAGGATAATATATGTTAAGTTAAAAAAACAAAAAGGGGTCTGCAAGGAGGTAGTGGGAGATAGAACCTTTCATCCATTCCTAGTTATTGGAAGTCTTAGTAACATTTTTTTTAATGTATAGGGTGTGAATTGGCCACACACCATATAGGAAATAGGTTGGTTGCCATTCATCTTAGCCATCAATAACATTTTCTTTTTAGTTTTTTTTTTTAAAAAAAAAAAATCAGTTTATCACCCCTATTATTGTTCCCATCTCAATGAATGAATATGGACATGATTTATCACCCCTATTATTGTTCCCATCTCAATGAATAGGGCTATACTATGATCTCCACTAGAGCAAGTGGATAAATAAATGTTGGAAAATAACAAAAGTATCTCTCTTTATCCTTGGTATGCTCTTGCTCAATTGTTTCCTATGTAATAGTTCACCATTAACATGAATGATAGTTGGTAAGTGCCAAAGTTTTGGTTTATCTACTAGGGTTAGTCACTTTAGTTAAATGTAAGCATGCGTTAATATTTTTATTATTATATTGATGATGAGTATGCATTAATATTCTTGATTCCCCTGTCAACCTAAATGGGTCCCATGAGGAATGGTGAGTACGCAAAATATCTAGGTATTAGAAAAATAATAAAAAATGACCAAATAATAAAATAATAACAACAACCCTTCATTTGAAAGCGACCCTTCATTAGAAAAAAAGAAGAAGGACGCAATCCAATGAGGTAAGCCAATTGGAATTTGCAGCGTATCACCCTCTCTTAAATTGGGCCTCTTAGTTGGAAGTTGGAGCACCCTACTTCAATTTCACATAAAATTTTGTGCTTATTCATTTTAATAAGTTTTCATAAATTTTGATAGTCTCTTTTGTTTATTTTTTATTAAGAAAAAATTAGATGCAAAATTTTAACATAACAATATCATATAAACAACTAGTGTGAGAAGACTAAGTGCTTATTTGAATTCTCTCTTTTTTAAGCTAGAAGCTACTTATAAGTATAAGTTAGGTTAAACAGGTTTTAAAAAAAGCTCTTATAATGAAAAAAAAAATTTTTTATAATGAAGAAAAAAGCTGAAATCTAAAAGTTCCTAGGAGGAGCTTTTTTTTAAGTTCTTATCTACTTTTCTTGAATTGTGTGTTTTTTTTTTAAAATGAAAAGTTATAAAGATAGAGAAACAGAAAATTTTCTTGAAATATGTGTTTTTAAGTAACTTTTAAGCTAAAATTTTTATGTGATTACCAAACAGCTTTTAACTTTTTTTTTAAGCTCTTTTTTTAGCTTTAGCTTATAAGTAACTTCTAACTTAAAAAAGAGAGGATCCAAAGAGACTCTAATTTCCACTCAATAAGTTCTCATTTTGAAGTTCTCTCCATCTCTTAACAATTACTCCCTCAGGTCTCCAAATAAAAATAAAAAAACAATTACTCCCTCATTACGCCAAAAATGAAAAATAAAAAACCATTCCGTCACTTGATCAATGATTCAATATACACAGTTGGCCAACAAAGGTGGATACAGTTGGCCAACAAAGGTGGATACAGTTGGCTAAGGGTTTGGTCCATATTCTTCAAGGGCGTGGGTTCATACCCCGCTGGCTGATGTGAGGACTTTGTTGGTGAGTGATATGTAATCTTTTCCAGAAATCTTCAAAGAGGTTGGGGGTCTTTCCACCACCCTAGTGAGATACCGGTGTCTAACCCCGCTTAAACTTTTTGATATTAAAAAAAAAAAAATGATTCAATGTACACATACATATTATCTTGGTGTACTAGAGCCATGTGCAACTAGTGCCCAAATAGTATTTCTTTCTTTATTATGACTAGTGGAAGTCTATGTGCTATATGAGTTGGATTGGACTAAGATAATGTTTACCTTAAAGTCAACAACATAATTTTGTTTATGTTATTTGACCAAAATTATCGTAAACAAATGTCCAAATGCATATTTGTTAAAAGTAGTTTTCTTTTTTTTCAAAAAAAAAATTATATAAAAATGTCAGAAGTGGGATTTGAACCCACGCCCTCTCACGAGGACCAGAACTTGAGTCTGGCGCCTTAGACCACTCGGCCATCCTGACCTGTTGCACATGATTTTGTGTTAATTATAGTTCATTATTAAAGTTACATGTTATCAATGCTTTGAACTAGTTCAACTCATATAAAGCTGTTTTCTCTTTCAGCTTTATATGTATTTCTTAACACAAAAGCCCGTTGGGCCTCTTGACCCACGTGAAGGCACACTAAGACCCTATAAAGGAATCTGTGGCATAAATGGCTTCATACTCATGCATGCAGTGTTAAAATAATGAATTTAAATATAAATTGTTATCAATCTAAAGTCTTTTTATACTTTCCACAAATCATATATTATCACTCGCTTTTTAAAAAATGTGTTTTTCCTGTAATTAGATTATTTTGAAATTCCTATAACAAAACTCATATAATTAATTATAAAGAAATTTATTAGTTGAATTAATTAATCCTCTATTTTACTTTTCAAATAATTATTATTATATTCACTTTATTTATTATGTAATATTATATAATTGGGAGAAGAGTCTGCTTGACACCTCTCTTTTTTAAGTTAAAAGTTACTTTTAAGTTACAATTAAAAAAAAACTTAAAAAAATAAAGCTAAAAGTTATTTGGTGATTATATAAAATTATTCTAATGATTATAAAAGAAGAAGATAAAATAATTTATTATTAGAATAAATTATTCAGATAAATAATAAAATTTATAAATACAAGTTTAGAATAAAAATAAAACTATAAAATAAATATGAAGAGTCTAAAAAGCTGACATTCATCTTAAAAGAACCTCTTCTTAAAAACTTTTAGCTTTTTTTTTCACTACTTTTTTTTATAATAAATTTTTTTATAAAAACATATTTGACTAAGGAAAAAAGAAACTAAAAATAAGACATGTCAAATAGATATGAAGTGTTTTTATGTGGAAAAAAGAAATTCAGATATTTTGACAAAAATTCATGTTACAAAAGAGAAGCAAAGTTCTTAAAATGCTTTATATTTTTTTCTTTTAACCCCAAAACCACGTCGTATCGGAGAAACACTCTTTCCTCCTCCTCCTTATTGTTATTGGAAATATAGAAAGGCTAGTGAATTTGTTCTGCTTGGGCAATTCATTTAAGGAAAAGGGATAAATTTCTTACAGCACAATTGATCCAAACAAGCATGCTGCCAAAAAATCAACATATGACTGTTGATTACTATTTAAAATTCTCCAGCTTCATATCTCCAACTAGCTTTTGCATATACCAAGAAACACTTCAAAAAGACAACCAAAAACCAAAAAAATAGTGTTAACTGGTACTCCACTTCCTCTATTGCACTTCCATTCAGGGCATCATCAGGACCCATCATACATCTTTCTCCTCTCTGACATAAAAAAACTCTTTTGGCGAAGCTCACTCTGAACATAAATGTCTCCATTCAAATTCCTCTCGGGAACTTCAGCAATGTACCTCTCAAAGTTAGGTCTTACTCTATCAAAAGAATAACTTGTTCTCTGATGTGCTTCTTGCAAAAAATTTGAACTTGCCCCAAAGACCTTATAGCCTTCATTTCTAGCACCAAGTGATAAGGGAACAATATCCATTCTTCTAACATGATCTGTCTGAGAATATCTAACATTAGTTGATGTTTGCCATTGTTGCAATTGCAATGACTCCATTGGCTGCAAAGGTTGAAATGATCTCTGAGAGCTTAGACTCATACCAGGAGCAGTTCTTCCCTGTATTTCAGCCACATTGTTTAAGTAGGCATCAGAGATCGGAGGGTATCCCTTTGTCAAGCCAAAGTTTAACAATTTCTGATCTCTAGTGAACCTTTCAGCATGATTCGAAACCCGATGAAGTGCTAGCCATTTGTCAAAGAAAAAAGAACGATTGGCTCTTGGAGATGTCACTACTTCATTCATTTTTGGAATGTGATTTGTTTGAGGATAGTAATTGAGATCACCTGGAGTTGGTAATTGCTCTATAGAATCCTGAATGGACCTCTCAGTAAATGGTCCATAGTAATTGGTCAACAATTTATGATGATCTCTAGATGATCTATCAATAAAATTCGAACCCAGATGATGTTCTAACCATCTGTCTAATTCTAACCATCTATCCGAGAAAAAAGAATGATTGGCTCTTGTAGATGTCATTGCTTCATTGATTTTTGGAATGTGACTTGTTTGAGGACAATAATTGAGATAAAGTGGAGTTGGTAATTGTTCCATAGCATCCCGAGTCTCTTGAAATGGAAGTTTTGTTTGTTGTCTAGAAACCACCTTACGATTTCTCCTACTACGTTTTCCCTTAGCTCTAGGATTGAAAACAAACTTAAAAGTGCTGCATTTACCAAGTGGAAAGGGTTCATCACATCTATAGCTATCACCTCGCTTATTGTTATAACCTGGGTAATCTTCAATCTTGAAGTCAGCACACTCAATCAATGCCAAAAAGCTTTGCATAGCAAGCTTCTCTATGTTCCAGTCGCTAAAAGGAGCTGTGCATTTGTGATTAACATGAATTTCGCCATTGGCTCGAAGCATGCAACTTGCATTCTTGAAGAAACCAAGCACAAGGTCTTTATGCATCCTGTAATTCAGGAGGAAAGACACAAAGAACTTCACATACAATCACATGGAGGGTTGATAGGAATTCCATACTTAATTTTAAGTGTGATAAACAAAGAAATTTAACATATTAGCAATTCGGCAAAAAACTAGCAGAATAAAACGTTAAATTCATGATCACATTTCAGAAACATATTTGAGTAACCAAATTAATGCCATTTAAAGTTTCCACAAAGTACAGAAGACAGAACCAAGCTACACTTTCTACTTAAATCTATTCCCTATTTTGGCCTAAGAGAAGCATAGCAGAACCATGAGTATTTGAAATAAATTTTTGTTCTTTATAAAGTACTCAAGACATTAACTAATCATCAAACTGAATTATACTAGAAAACTCACTTAATCATTAATGGATTATCTTCTTTCCTGTGAAAGCCCGCGTGAGGAAAGTTGAATATAATTCGATCAAACCTCCGCATTTTCAAATCTGAATGAAGCTTCATTTTGGTTGCATCCACTCCATGTAACAAGCATGCTCCCAGCTTTTGTAAGTCGTCTAAATTTGACTTTGCATTCTTGTACTTCTTGGTAACATCATCTACATGAACAGGGTGAGCATTGATGACAAGCCAGGCAGAAGCATTTTGCAATTCAACAAATATACTTACACTAATTAAGGGTGTTTGTGCTTGGTAGAAGCCAAAATGAAAGGGAAGAAATTAGTGGAAAAACAACTGACATAGCATTTGGATTTTGAACACAAATAAGTTACATGAATCTAAAGCTATCCCTTATTTTCATGCATCCTCTTTCCTCCTTCATATTTTCACGCCTTGCAAGCACATTTAAAACTAGAGCAAACTAGTTATATACAATAAACTACATAAACAACACTACCCAAAAATAAATAAATAAATAAAACAATCAAGGGAATAAAAAAAGAGAAAAAAATACATATATTTTCAAGACAACCAAGTGAAAATAAACAATATTTTTAAGAAAAGACAAGGAGAACAAACCCAATATACTCTTTCCTGCAAATAAAAAAAAGGGGAAGTGTCACATTGAAAGAAGAATCACACATGATCAAACCCAGTACACTCTTTCCTGTAAATAACGTTCTATTCCAGAGGACAAAAGGAGCATCCATAACAAACAAACGGTTTTCTTAAGCATGTTCTTTATACCCCATGTATCCAAGGTCGAAACTTTCTCAATGAAACATGCTGCATAAGCCAAAAACACGAGCAGAATGGTAAAGGGTCATGCAAAAACCAAGCAAAAAGAGAGAGAAAGAGACCAAAGGAGTCAAGAGAAGAAGCGAGGATGTTGGCAGCGGAACCAAAAGAGTTGGCGAGGGAAAGGGAGAAAGAGAAATCACCCTCACCCACCAACAGTATTTGATGATCACTGCAATAATGTGTCGCCCATTTTTTACCCTCTCCTTCTACACCTCCTCCTTCTTCATCTTCCATTTCCACTTGTTCCTTTCACACCCTTTTCTTGTTTTCCACTGCACCTTTCTTGCAAGGGTGCCAATCATTCAATTTTTGAAATAGCTATGGCCTATGGGTGTCTCAATCTCAAGTCGGGTAATTGTTTTTTAAAAATTTACATTTAAATAATAAATTACACAAATAATGTCGTTTTTAAATATTTTAGAATTTTTTTTTGTCTCCTAAAGATATAAAATTATATTATTTTAAGGAATACAGATATATAAATTAATATTTTTTATTTAAAATTTAAATTAAAAAAATCACCCACATTTTGGTAATAATTTTTTACATTCTTTTCCTCCACTCTCTCTTACTATTTTTCCACTCTCTCTCTTACTAACTTTGTAAAGGAAACACAATGTAAAAAAATCATTAATTTTGCACGTTTTATTTAAAATGACATAATTTTTAAAATGATAAATATTTTCTTCTTCTTTAGTATTTGAAATTCAATTTTATTTTTCATAGAAAAATAAAATTTAATCTTATTGTAATAAATATAAATTTATTTTTTAAATTAAAAAAATATAAATATCTAAAAACTTTAATGTTAACCATGTATTTTACAATTATCTTTATTTGCTAAAATAAAAATACATTTCCCATTTATTTTTTTGATTCTTGGCTAATCCAAAAAAAAATTGGTAGGTTGCCAATCCAAAATTTTTTTTTTTTGATAACAGCCAATCCAAAATTTAACTTCTGTTTTTGTGTGTACCTTATGTATTATTTTTTATTTTTTCATAATATTAATTTAAATCAAATTAATTGAGTAATTGATAAATTCATGTATGTATAAAAAATGGAGACTACGTGTGGAATATTTTCAAATATCACCGTAGGTTGAGAAGTCTTTCTATGCTTCTAGACCACTCAATTTTTGGGTGCTCCCTCGCAAATAGATGGGTAAATAAGAAAAAAAAGGAATAAAATAGGGAAAACAATTTTTTGTTTGTAAAAACGACTACTAAAAAATTCAATGAACCTGTACCATTGAATTTTTTCTCCCGTAGGTTTTGTGATCAAGAGATTCTTTATAACAAACTAAAATTGTGAAGGACTACATGATTTGTCAGTAAACGGTGTGCTTCATGATTTGCTGTCTTCCAAAAAGTCCAATGCACAATTAGTGTAAAGTTGCTAACAACCAAGGTACATCAAAGACCGTGTGCTTCATGATTTGCTGCACCAAAAAATCCATTTCCTTTGACTGCCAAGAAGATTAGAAGAATGATGTTGGACCACTATTTATTCAGTGGTTCGGACCAATCAAAATCATACAACTAATGAGGAGAGAGAAGAGAGAAGAAGTAAAAATAAATTTTTGTGCAAGTGTCACCTCTTGAATGGAAGGACCACATAGGACCTAGAGAACCAAAAAAAATTTCCAAGAAAATTAACATGAATCTAATTTGCAATGTACACCTACTCATGTACATCCCAAAAAAGGTGACCATAAGCACCCATATATATACATAGGCTTCCAAAAAAAGGCGGTATCTTAGATTAGTGAGACATTTCCAACAACGTTGCCACAACAAACACTCTCTCCTCATGATTTTTTTGCATGAAAATATCAGTCATATTGCTATCCTTGGCCATCATCTTAGCAACCTTAACCCTTTGAGATACACTTAATCCTTCAATCTTTTTTAATTCATCAAGAATTGACATTCTTCGGTTACTTCCCTCTACTTGATTTGTAAAACATGAAACCAATATGTCCAATTTGTCATTAGTGTTTCTGTAAGTATGGGTAAGGACTTTCATAGCTTCAATAACCACAACAGTGACTGCCTCCTCACTTCTAGCTCGTTGTTTTTTACCCCTTTTAGCCGCTGAGGTAGAGGCAGAAGAAAGTTGTACACAGTCTTTAGTTGTAGTATCGAGAATTGGATTATAATTCTATGCTTGTGTAGTGTCATCAATTAGGCCATAGAAATCGTATGCAAAATTCCCACTCTCATTAAACATAACAACTTCTCTTTTCAATTCCTCTACAGCATCTTCGGGACCTTCTGCATCTTGTCCGGAAGCAACATCCCGACCGAAGATTGGACCTAGTTCATCAAAGAAGGGGAATGGCTTTTTGTAAAGCCCCTCGACATTGGGATGTGTCTGCAAAATAAGCATATAGTTAATATTAGTACATGATTCTTGTATGCTAACAAAATTAAGTTAATAGAATTTAAGACATAATGTAACATTATATTTCACCTTCACCCACTCAGTGAATTTTTTTCCACATCAATCATCCTTGCCTTGTCGTTCCACCCAAATCCACTACCACTATTAGGGCCAATCATTTCGCAAATAGCGTTGTAGTGTTTTTTTAGCAGTTTAATTCTTGAAGTTGTATGTGGGTTTGCTTTCAAAGGACAACTAGGTATTTTTGCTTGTATCATTTTCTCAAGATGACTAGCAAAACTCGGCCTAAAGTTGTTATCTCCCTTCCATGATAATCCAATTTCCAGAAGACAATCTACAAGTACTTTGTCTTCTTCAGCTGTCCAAGTATGATTGCTATGTTTCTTGGATTTTTGAGTCTCCTCGGCCATCTATGGAATGCAACAAAATAATATAGGGTATTGAAAATTGTTGGGTTTTAAACTTTATTTAAAAGAAAATAGAAAATGAAAGGTTTTGTGGTGAAGAGGTGTGTCCCTTAGGAATTTGTTAGTGGACAATTAATGTGTTTAGATTTCTTAAGTTAGTCATTAGTATTTCTAGTTATTTGCTATTGCTATTAAATAGTACCATGTAAATCATTTGAATGTGAGGCTTGAATGTTAAAAGATATACAAAGAGGTATATTCAGAGAACTCCTTGTGTGTTTTAAAGTGTTTTGTGAGAAACACCATTAGAGAACCTGTGATTCACAAATTGGTATCAGAGCTTGAGTTATGGAGAGTGTGAGCACTTCCAGTATATCTTGCCCCGCCTGACAAAGGCGAATTACGTGAATTGGAGTATCCAGATGAAGGCGTTGCTCGGATCCCAGGATGCTTGGGATGTTGTTCAGGACAGTTTTGCTGAACCTGCAACCACTGCAGGATTTACAGCAGCTCAAACCAAGGCGTTGAAAGAGACGCGTGCGAAGGACAAGTCGCCCTTATACACGCTTTTCCGAGCCGTAAACGAGTCCAGATTTGAGAAGATAGCAGGAGCAACGACGTCTAAGGAAGCATGGGACATCTTGGAAAATGTCTATAAAGGTGCTGACCGAGTAAAGCAGGTACGACTTCAAACTCTACGTGGCGAGTTGGAAGGCATGAAGATGAAAGATTCAGAGGGTGTATCCGAGTTCATCACCCGAGTTCAAGCCGTGGTGAATCAGTTAAAGCAGAATGGTGAGCAGATATCTGATACTAGAGTTGTTGAGAAGATTCTGAGGTCGCTGACCGACGACTTCAAAAATGTGGTATGTGCAATTGAGGAGTCGAAGGACTTGGCTACGCTTTCTGTTGAAGAGCTAGCAGGTTCCCTTGAGGCGCATAAGCAGCGCAAGAAGAAGAAAAAGGAGGAGTCGCTGGAGCAAGCACTCCAGACAAAAGCAACCATTAAAGATGAGAAGGCGCTCTATTCTCAAAATGTCTGAGGTAGAGGTCGTGGACGAGCTGGACGTGGAAATGGCCGAAGTGGTCGTGGCCGAGGTCATGAGGTGAGAAATGAAGAAAGAGCTGAGTCGAGTCAGAGAGGAAGAGGACGTGGCCGAGGTGGAAGAGGCCGGTGGTCAAATCAAACAAATGTGGAATGTTATAAGTGTGGCAAGTATGGCCATTACTCAAGAGATTGCAACTCGGACAAGTGTTACAATTGTGGCCGAGTTGGGCATTTCGCTAAGGATTGCCGAGATGAAAGAAGAGTTGACGAGGCTTCAAACCTCGCTGTAGAAGGAGATGGAAGAGTTCTTATGCTAGCCCATGGTGAAACCAGTTCAAAGAATGAGACGGAGTGGTATTTGGATACCGGTGCCAGTAATCACATGTGTGGTTACAAACACTTGTTTAAGGAGTTGAAGACGGTGGAAGCCGGACATGTCTCTTTTGGAGACGTGTCCAAAATTGAAGTAAAGGGCCGAGGTACGATCTGTTTCTTGCAAAAGGATGGATGAGTTGGTACAATCCGGGAGGTGTATTACGTGCCCGAGCTCAAAAGTAACATATTAAGCATTGGACAGCTGATGGAGAAGGGTTACTCGGTTCTAATGACAGACCGAGTTCTACTGTTGAAAGATAAACAAGGGCGTCTGATAGCCCGAGTTCAGATGGAAAAGAACAGAATGTACAAGCTGAGTCTAAGGAGCATGGAGGTCGGCTGTCTGCAAGCCGGGGTAGAAGATAAGATGGATTTGTGGCATAGACGGTTTGGACACCTTCATTATGGTGGTCTGACCGAGATGATGAAGAAGGACATGGTAGTGGGACTACCAAAGATGAATTCTGAAGGAAGATTTTGCGAGGACTGCGTATTGGGAAAACATGCGAGAAGCCCGTTCCAAAGGATGGCGAGATACTGAGCTAGGCAGCCTGTGGAGTTGATACATACCGACCTGTGTGGACCCATTACTTCGGGGTCCTTCAGTGGTAAGAAATATTTTGTAACCTTTATTGATGACTTTAGTCGAAAGACTTGGGTATATTTTTTGAAGGAAAAATCCGAGGTGCTAGAGGCATTCAGGAGTTTTAAAACAATGATAGAGAATGGTACTGGAAGATACATCAAGTCGGTCCGCTCAGACCGAGGTGGGGAGTACGTGTCAACAGCTTTCAAGAAGTATTGTGAAGAACATGGGATAAGGCGGTTCCTGACCGCTCCGTACTCGCCCCAGCAGAATGGAGTAGCTGAGAGAAAGAACCGGACTATCCTGGATATGGTCCGATCTATGCTGAAAACGAAGAACATGCCAAAGGAGTTCTGGGGAGAAGCCGTGCAATGTGCCGTGTACGTGCAAAACCGATGTCCGCACTCAAGTGTGAATGATAAAACTCCACAAGAAGCATGGAGTGGTCTAAAGCCATCAGTGGCTCATTTCAAGATTTTTGGTAGTGTTGCGTATGCACACATACCGGATCAATTGAGGACAAAGCTAGAAGATAAAAGTAAGAAGTATGTGTTTATTGGCTATGATGAGAAGACGAAGGGGTACAAGTTGCTGGACCCCGTCAATAAAAAGGTGTTGGTGAGCCGAGATGTAAAAGTGAATGAGGAAGATGGATGGGACTGGAGTAGTCCATCCGGGGTCAATGTGGAACCCGGACTAAAATCAATTGAGGTCGGACAACCTTCGACCCGGATTCCTGAGAATCCGAATGACTCAGATAGTGATGAAGAGCAGAGACAACCGAGATTGAGGAGTCTACAAGATTTGTATGATTCCACCAGTGCAGCACACTTGGTATGTCTGTTGGCAGATTCTGAAGAAGTAAGCTTTGAAGAAGCAATCCGAGATGAGAAATGGCAATCAGCCATGGAGGAGGAAATAAAGGCGATAGAAAAGAACAAGACGTGGGAGTTAGCCGAGCTACCAAGAGGAAGTCGGCCCATTGGTGTGAAATGGGTCTACAAGAAGAAAATGAACGCTAAAGGGGAAATCGAAAGATACAAATCCTGGCTAGTGGCGAAAGGATATAGGCAGAAGGCCGGCATTGATTATGACGAGGTGTTAGCACCCGTAGCAAGAATGGAGACAATACGGCTGTTGATCTCTCAAGCAGCAAAGTTCGGATGGTCGATCTATCAGATGGACGTGAAGTCGGCATTTTTGAATGGAGTACTCGAGGAAGAGGTATATCTCGAACAACCTCCGGGGTTCATGAAAGTCGGAGAAGAAAGAAAAGTGTTGAGACTGAAGAAAGCCTTGTATGGGTTTAAGCAGGCCCCAAGAGCCTGGAACACAAGAATTGACAATTACTTCAAAAAGGATGGTTTTGAGCAGTGTCCATATGAACATGCTCTCTATGTAAAGAAGAAGGAAGGTAAAATTTTACTTGTTGCCTTATATGTTGATGACTTAATTTTTCTGGGTAATGATGAAAGAATGATAAAAGACTTTAAGAAGAAAATGACGGAAGAATTCGAGATGGCAGATCTCGGTCTGATGAGGTACTTTCTTGGTCTGGAGGTAAGACAAGATAAATCCGGGATCTTCGTCTCTCAGGAAGCCTATGCAAAAGGACTTCTAGAGAAGTTTAAAATGACAGACTGCAACCCGGTTTCAACGCCAATGGAACCCGGGTTGAAACTTTCGAAGTATGATGGAGGAGAGAGAGTTGATCCGAGTTACTACCGGAGTCTAGTTGGAAGTCTGAGATACTTGACGTGTACGAGGCCGGATCTGTGTCTGAGTGTTGGGATCATAAGTCAATTTATGGAAGACCCGGGGTACACTCACTGGAAGACGGCTAAGAGAATTCTGAGATATGTGAAGGGAACAATCTCACAAGGACTTCATTACTCGAAGTCGGACAAATATAAGTTGACGGGTTATTCAGACAGTGATTGGTGCGGAGACGTTGATGATAGAAAGAGCACGGCAGGCTATGTGTTTTTCATGGGAAACACGGCTTTCACGTGGGTGTCAAAGAAGGAACCCATTGTGACCCTGTCTACATGTGAAGCCGAGTATGTTGCGACATCTTGGTGTGTTTGCCATGCAATATGGCTAAGAAATTTACTAAGCAAGCTGGAGCAAGGGCAAGTCGGCGCAAGCGAAATCCGAGTTGACAACAAGTCTGCGATCGAGTTAGCAAAGAACCCGGTCAATCATGAAAGGAGCAAGCATATTGATGTCAGGTCAAAGAAGGAAAATGGAGCTCACTCATGTTGCAAGCCGAGATCAAGTTGAGATATTTTTACAAAGCCCCTTCCGACGTTGTTGTTTGAAAATTGCAAGAAGAAGATGGGAATGAAGGATGGTAGAGATATTAAAGTTTAAGGAGGAGTTTTGTTGGGTTTTAAACTTTATTTAAAAGAAAATAGAAAATGAAAGGTTTTGTGGTGAAGAGGTGTGTCCCTTAGGAATTTGTTAGTGGACAATTAATGTGTTTAGATTTCCTAAGTTAGTCATTAGTATTTCTAGTTATTTGCTATTGCTATTAAATAGTACCATGTAAATCATTTGAATGTGAGGCTTGAATGTTAAAGATATACAAAGAGGTATATTCAGAGAACTCCTTGTGTGTTTTAAAGTGTTTTGTGAGAAACACCATTAGAGAACCTGTGATTCACAAAAATAACAAGAGACAAAATGATAGCTAATTAAAATAGAAATATCAAACCAAAAGGACCATTACATGAACACAATGCAATAAGCTGTCTAATAGTTAATATTACATTAAACCCGAAAATGCAAAGTATTTTTATGCCAAATTAATAAAATATAAAAAAAGAACAGCCATATATGTTGTTCGTAACATATAAAACCAATTCAAACACGTCTCATCCACGTGTTAAACATATGTTGCACCATATCATCCCTCCAAAGAGTCCAAGCATTAGATGTCTCTACATGTGTTATCATAGCCTATTCTAGGTGATCAGCTTGGGCTTCTTGGAT